CCTCAGCCACCGGCCGGGCAGCCCCACTTACCCTGCTCCTGCTCGAGCTCCAGCATCGGCTGTCCTCTTTCCGCCGCAGGCCGCCGCCTTCGGGTCGCCTCCCAGGCTACTGCCGCCTGCACGCACTCCCGATTTTGAAAACAAACAGGCGCCGCCGCCTCCCCGCGGCGCTCGCAGGGCTTCCGCCAGCCCGCGCCTCCAAAGGCTGGGAAGTTTGCTGGCAGGGCCCGGGCGGGACGCGCGGGCTGTCACCCCTCGCTCGTGGCTCAGGAGCCTCGACGCAGCCCGCGCCCGTAGTGTCCGCCTCGCGATTGCTCTCCCTCCCTCCGTGTCACCCCCAGTCCTGCGATGCAGTGTCAGGATTGCACTGCTCTGACTCATCGGTTGAGCTCACAGCTTGAAAAAAAGAGAGAGAGAGGGCGAGAGGCAACAGCGAAGGAGGAGGACTCTCTGGCGTGCTACAAAGGATTGCACAACTCGGGGCTGGGAGCGCGGAGCGCCCAGCGGCCGGCCGGCGCGCGCGGCACGGCGGCGAGCAGGAACCAGCTCTACCACTTCATCAGCACAACTGTCTCGGGTCGGCCTCTCCGCCAGCAGGCCCGGCGCCGCCCACTTCCTGCGACCAAATAAGGCTGGGGAAGGCGTCTTCAAACCTCCGGCGGCTGCCGGGGCTGGGGATTTCCAGCAGACCTTACCTCCACTCCCAAGTCAGTCGCCACCCTCCCCCAGCCCAGGCAGGCGCCCCCGTGGGCTTTGCTGGAACCAACAGGCCACGCGGCTCTTTCCTTTCACACCAAGGTCAGGAGGAGACGGTGACGAAATGTTTGGAAACCCATCGGGCCTGCCAGGAAAGTATGTGTGTGATGTTGGGGAAGACACAAGTCGCTTTCTTCCACAAAGAAAACTCTGGTTTTGGATACGGTAAAGCATGCACAATCCTCTCCCAGACGCTTTTATTAAGTCTCCCCAACTTTTACTTTCTGGCTCATCAGCATCCTAGTGGTGTGAAAGTTGTTGAGAAACTAGTCCCAGCCCGCATAAAAGACCCATATCTCAATTACTTAGGTGATACAAAGCTCTTGGGTTTAGTTCTAGCAACTGAGGCCAGAATTGGGCAGCTTTTCACTGCATGCCTACATTTCCCCTACCTTCCCTACTATCCCCACGCCTCCTCACTTCTTCAGAAGATGAGAAACATTTCTGCTACTCAAGAGGTCCTCGCTGCCCCCCACCTTCAATGAGGCTCCAGAGGCAGGAGAAAGTCCAGAGGAGGGAGCCCTTTTTTCCTGGTTCCTTTCATTTGTTTTTGTTTTTTGTTCTTCCCAAGGAGATGGGTCAAAAGGAGGTTTTCCTTGGAAGGAAAACCATGAAAGAACACACTGTGTCCTGGCACCTGCTTTTTCCCTGTGGCCAGTCCTGAGAAGCAGGTGCATCCCTTGCTTCCTCAGGGGAAGGGGAGGGCAGCAGAATATGATTCTCACAGCCCCTCTGAGCCTGCAGGGCAAGGAGCTACCCCACAGCACCCCTCCTGCAGCCCCCAGTGAATGACAAAGACAACACTGATACCTTCTGCCTTGAAATCTTCAAAAACCCACACTTGCTTCTACGGGGCATGACCTTCCTGTCCTCTTCCACCCCTTTGCTGGTGGGAGCACCTAGCTACATCTGGAGCTCACACCTCACCCAGGAGGAAAAGGGTTTATTTGCACCTTGGTGTGACAGATATGTCACAGTAATGACAACTTAGTCTTATCTGCAAAAGAAAGATAATTATGCCAGGGGACTGGATCAGATGACCTCTGAAAATTCCTTCCAGTTTCAAATCCATGATTCTGTAATGGTAAAAAATGAATGGAAGAGCCAGGGAAACCACCTCCAACAAAGAAAAGCTCAGGCTCTCAGATTTAGCATCTGCTCTGACAGTATTGTTCCTGAAAATTCTCAAAGGATATCCCCACACACAGCCTACTTAACAACCCTGTGTGTGAGAGAATTTCATCCCACTCATATTAAGGTTCAGAGAGGTTGAGTGATTTGCACAAGATCACAAGGCAACCTAGTGGTTCATCACCTCTCTGTTCCTCTTCCCATCTCCCCCAGGAAAGACAGTCAGCAGTTGAGGGACTGGGGTACTCAGGCATGCAGACCCCTGAGTAGAGGCTAGACTCTCAGGATTCCTGGCAGGGGCTTAGTCTAAAGCCTTTTTGTTTCTTCCATTTGTCTGAGTTTTTTTCCTTCTCTCTGACACCTCATCAAAGTGAGGAAAGCAAAAGCAAAGCCACTTGGTCCCCCGTGCACTGCTGCCAGGTTTCTCTGCAGACCTGCAGCCATACTGACCTCCAGCTAGGGTCTGGCCCCCAAAGCGAGGCCCGGAGAGCCAGTGCAGACCAGCCCAGGGATGTTCCCCACCAAGCAGAAACCCGCCTGGGGTGCACATTCCTAGAAGAGCCTGCCACCATGGAGCCAGGGCCCAGCCTCCAGGGAACAAGTGGGAGTCACTCCAAAGGGCACTCCTCAGCCTTTTGCCGCCAGGACTTCCTCCCTGTCCCACGCTGGGCTGCTGGGCCTGGCCCAGGAAGTCGCACAGGGAGTAGAGGTAGGTGGCAGGATGCATGAGAAATAGAGTCGGTGACCTGAAACAGCCCTGCTCATCTTGGAGCAGCTCATGCCTTCACCCCAACTAAAATTCCAAATTCAGGCCACCTCAGAGAGGGAGAAGGAGTGTGTGTGTGTGTGTGTTTGTGTGTGTGTGTGTGTAGAGAAGGAGGGC